GAGGAGAGCCTGGAATAGGGACTCTGAGAATGGAAAGAAATGATGGTTTCCAGAAAGGTTTAAGAGTTATTAGCGTGTGTAAGACATGACAGTTATATTTGAGGACAGCGAGGACAAAGAACTCTCTTTGTGGGATGCAAGAGGATGGCAGGACCTCTCAGTGAAATTGTGAAACCTGGGACTGTTGGGAAAGGCTCACAAGGCGTTTGGTTTGGACATACTGAGTTTGAAGTGCCTGTGGACCGAAGAGGATATGTCAGATTCATATTTCAAGCATTATTTTTAGCTACTTCCTGTTTGCCGGTAGTGTGTTGTGACTTAAAAAAAAAAGGTTGTCACCAGAAAAGAAAGATTTTATTCAATATAAATGTGCTTTCAGGTACAACATACATAGTTTCTGTCAATGACTTAAAAAATATAGAAGGAAAATTCAAAGAAGGTCAGCTTTAATTATAAGTAAATAAATAAATAACAGCCAGAAGAATGAAAAGAAAAGGTGAGATGCGAACAGAGCATTGCAGCCACACGGGTGTCCTCAGATCCCTTCTGGAGCTGAAACCAAAATGAAGCATTGGGCAGGCGTAGCTGCCAGAGGGAAGCATCAACTTGCGTGAACCGCGCCGTTTCTTCTGAAGTTAGAAAAAGGAAACAGATTCTCGATGAAGTGTGGATGGTGATTTGGGCTTGTCTCAGTTTAGGGAGCACGTTTCAGATCATTTCTGTGATTCCTTGGCAGTGAATTCATTACGACAAGAAACAATGTGGGGAAGGGAGAGAGAAGAATAAATTCACACATGTTACGAAAACTTTAATATCTTCTCACCCTACCCTTTTAGCCATAATTTTAAAAAAAACCCCATGGAGTTTACTGTTTTCCTGTCTTTGGAGAGCTTGCTGACTTGGGAAAGACTTTAAAGTATTACTGAAGCCAGTTTGAATCTTTTGCTCTTTGCTTTCCTACCATGGCCTGTCACTTGGGCAGAGAAGATGGAGAGGGTGTGATTACATTCAGCCTTTGGGGAAGGGAGGGTCAACTTTTATTTTCAATATGACAAACTGGAGATCTAAAATTTGGGAAACTGTTTAATGTCCATGGCTTGTTGAACATAGCCCACAAGTTTGACTCATAACTTAATTTAAATTTAATTTATTCATTAATTCTCTTTTATGGCAACATATGAGATAGCACATCTCCAAATTTTTCATGACTCCCAAAGAAAAATCCTAAACTGACTTTTTCCCCATTTTATTGCCAAATTACATTTTAAGAAGTACTCCTTGAAACTGTGTCCCCAGCACATGAAAGACAAGAACCATTATTGGTGTAGGGTGCTGTTCATAGGCATTATTTCATTATCCCTCTGGAATAGAAATGGCTTCAAAGTCCAACAGAATTGTTTTGGGGACGGAAGATGTATATTATTGATTTTCCACACAGTGGTCAATTATTTTGTTCCTGCATTGACTGCCTGGGCCCATTTGGTGTTTCTCATCTGCCTCCATCCTACAGCACCTCTGCCCTCTACTGTGAACATTTTGAACTTCTCCGGTGTCTGGGTTCCTTCCTGATGATCTCACATGGGATTGTCCGCAGTGCTGGCTCCAGACCCTCTGCTGGAAAGTGCTCTGGGAAGCCGGGACTCCACCCAGTTCCACGCACTGAACCTGGGCCCGGGTCCTCTCTGCCTGCAGGGTGCATCTGAGGGCTGCTTGTTTGGTGTCACCTTTACCCTCTAAGATAGTGGTTTCCAAACCTTTTTCACTGTGACCCACAATAAGAAACAAAGTGGACATCACAATGCAATGTACACATAACTTTGACTCTACATATGTAAATATGTAAGTAAAAGTTGCACAAATCACCCCTTGTATTTAATGCTTTGTTGAATGCTTTGTAGTGTACTTTTTCCTATTCAATTCCATTAAATGACACTAAAAATATGCTGGTCATAACCCATGTTCATTCTACAATTTATTAATAGCTTATAATTTATAATTTAAAAACTCTGCGTAACATTTTGACAACACATGATTCCTTTTCAGAGAATCCCTCCATAATATATCTCTGTTCTTGAATATCTCCAGAGAGGGGACCACTTCATTTTTTGAGGTGGCCACTTCATTCCATAGTTCTAGTGTTTAGAGGACTTGGATGCCTTTTTTTTTTCTTCTTGTCTGATCACTGTGCCTAGGACTTCTCATACTATGTTGAATAGGAGTGGTGAAAGCAGACATCCCTGTCTTGTTCCTGTCCTTAGGGGAAATAGTTTTAATTTTTGCCCATTGAGTATGATGTTGGCTGTAGGTTTGTCATATATGGCCTTTATTATGTTGATGTATGACCTCTCTATTTCAACTTTACTGAGAGGTTTTTTTGTGTTGTTTTTTTTTTTATCAAAAAGAGGTGTTGGATTTTGTTGAATGCTTTGTATCAATTGATATGATCATGTGATTTTTGTCTTCCAGTTTGTTTATGTGATGTATCACATTTATTGATTTGTGAATATTGTACCAGCCTTGCATTACTGCACTTGATTGTTAAAGGACTTAGATAACCTTTTAGAAATATAGCTATTTATAGGCCAGATTTCATAATGCTTTAGTAGTGATGAACCCAATGGTACCATGAACTATTTTTATATGTATGTGAGTATTTTATTTAAATGAAAACTGCTTGGAATAAGTCCCTGTATATGGGAGGTGGGAAATTTTCACAGAAATTGCATAATAATATTTCCTAAAGAATGAGAATCCTATTAAATGTCCTTTTATCTATAAAAGTAAGTTCATTGGTTAATCAGACGTGTCAGAGTTTGGTAGGTGGTCACAGTTCATTGACATCAGCTTTATCGTGGCTAGATGTATATGCTGTCATTTATAGATGCAACAGAGCTAGGAAATGAATGACTTGAATTCTCTGCCTGGCTCACCAGTCACCGTGAATCAGTGGCGACTGTGTTCCTAACTCCCTGGCAGTGAGCTTGCAGTATGAATTATTATTTTTTTTCCTGGAAGTGGGGAATTAATTCACACTCTTCACAGTCTGTTTACAACCAGTACACACACTGGCAAGCTGACCAGCAAGGTGGCTTTGTCTGTGACCAAATGGTTAAGAAACTCATCAACCTTAGTCACTTTAGCACCAGTCTGTATCACCAGCACAGCTAACCAGTGATATTATTCTGAAATTCCTAGGGATTCCTCCAAACCTCTGATGTCATAAGAATTGCATATTCATTGTCAACAGTGTGGCCTAGTTTTATAAGCTTGTTCCTTCATTTTTGCTTTTAACAAGAACACTTACTGAGTGTCTACTATGTGCCACACTGTTGTAGGATTGCAGGTGCAATAGTGAATACAGCAGAGCAGGGAAAATAACCCTGCTATTGCAGAACTTACATTTCAGTAAGGGATATAGACACATACAGTATCACATACATATATGTGTACATATGTACATATATACATATGTATAGTAAGAGCACCAAAAAATAAGGAAGGGAAATGAGAGATTGTTGGTTGGGGAGTGATGAACTTCTGACAGGGTGGCCAGACAAGACCTCACTCAGCTGAGTTCTTTGATATAAACTCTTAAAGGAAGAACACAGTCTAGAAGAAGTCTCTCAGACATTTTTAAGTATTATTAACTTGGGGTCTATGGAGTTTGTATGGGGGAAATATTGCATCTTAATTTTTACTAACTCTAACCAAAATTTATTTCTTCCAAATCATGAATGTAGATAACCAACTATTGGGAGAACCTGTAACTTTGTCACAGAGAGAGATCACAGATATGTTCATATCACACACAGTTACTATAGACATCTCAAAATATTATTTGTGCTCATCACTACTTATAAATTATGATAGTTAAATCTTGCAGTTAAATACTGTTATTTAATAAAGAAGCACATATCACAATTTAAAAAAATATCTGTTTTAATAATTATACTTCAAAGTAAGAGATTTCCTTGTATCCCTCCGTATTTCAGCTTATGAATTTTCAGACATCCTGAGAAAGAGGCTAACACTTCACTAAATTGCCAAAGGAGGCTCCTGGCATAGAAATGTTAAGCTTTAGTTTAATCCCTAACTGAGAGCTTTCTTCCACCTCCCACAAGAACGGCACACTCTTCATTTGTTTTCCTCTCGTAGAGATTACTCAAATACATCCTGAACAGATGGGGAGGGTTTTCTGGATAATTCCATAGCGTTGTGACTGTGAAAGATCCTTCTTAGCTTCCTGTTTCACGCAGGCCACACACTATTAAAATACTTGCCGAACAATGCAGCAAGTCAAGCAGAAATTTGGCTTCTTAGAAAAAATGGCAGTTTAATACTTCACAGATCAGCTTTTAGGCTTCTCTGAAAGTTACTCAAAGGGCCTTAAAGGCAGTGCCATTTATTTTATGAGAAGAAGGAGATGTAGAAATAGAATCAGTTCATTTCACTCATTTACATCATCTTTTTAGCCAGTGCCTGCATCACAGTGTTGACCCAGAGAGTCTGTCCTGATTGAGAGCTCATAAGCTATGGACCATGCCACCTCCACCTTGACCAGCCTGTGGGAAATAGGAAGGGATATGCATGTTTGACCGTTTTAGCGAGGCAGTCATAAGAACAGGACCTCTTATGCAGGTAGAAAGGGGAGGGTGATCCCTAGTTAAATGGATATGCCAGAGAATTTTGCCTTGCTGCTACATGTTATGTGCTTCAGATCTCTTTGGATATATTTGTCTACCTCTCAGCAAGAGGGAAAAAATCAAATGTAAAAATTCCCAGCATTTTGATATTGCTGGGAACATCAAGAGAGAAACTCTGTAATTTTCACATTAAACTTTATGCTTGTCTAATGCAGAGGGAAGTTGATTCTGTGTCATTAAACCTCTTGGATTATATCTTCAGTTGTAGCCTTTAGTTCTGGGTAATAGACACATGAAAGGTGTGATGAAAGCTGTGAGCCCTGTTGCACTCATTTGCCGGCTTCTTTTCCTTTCCAGGTTGGTGAAAGACGCTCCCTGGGATGAAGTCCCGCTCGCTCACTCCCTGGTGGGTTTTGCCACTGCCTATGACTTCTTGTACAACTACCTGAGCAAGACTCAGCAGGAGAAGTTTCTTGAAGTGATTGCCAATGCCTCGGGCTATATGTATGAAACCTCATACAGGAGAGGATGGGGATTTCAATACCTGCACAATCACCAACCGACCAACTGCATGGCTCTGCTCACAGGAAGCCTAGTTCTGATGAACCAAGGTGCGTGTGGACACAGCTGAGGGACTCCTGGGCTGACACGAGATGTGGCTGCCATGTTGCGAGCAAAGCATTTAAATATGTTTTGATTTCAGAGAAAGGAAGGGAGAGGGGAGAGAGATAGAAACATCAATGATGAGAGAGACTTATTGATTGGCTGTCTCCTGCAGGATCCCTACTGGGGATCGAGCCTGCAACCCAGGCATGTGCCCTGATTGGGAATTGAACTGTGAGCTCCCTGGTTCATATGTCGATGCTCGACCACTGAGCCACACCAGCCAGGCATGAGCAAAGCATTTTTTATAACTAGTCTTAGTACATGTTCATATTTGATCCTAAGTCTGTGAGATGAAGTAATAACTAGGTTATCTCTTAGAGAATTGAGAGACATCTTTCTTCATTTCTGCTAGTTATATTAGCATGAAGGTTATTGAATTAGGGCTTTTTGATTGTCCCAAGCCATGTTTTTAAACTATGCTTTTATTGATTTTAGAAAGAGAGGAAGGGAGAAGAGGGAGAGAAAGAAACACTGATGTGAGAAACATCTATCAATTGTCTCCTGCATGCCCCCTACTGGGGATTGAGTTCACAACCCTGGCATGTGCCCTGACTGGGAATCCAACCAGTGACCCTATGGTGCATGGGACAATGCTCAACCAACTGAGCTACACTGGCTAGGGCCCAAGCCATATTCTTTTTATTTTATTTTTTTATTTTATTGATTTTTTACAGAGAGGAAGGGAGAGGGATAGAGAGTCAGAAACATCGATGAGAGAGAAACATCAATCAGCTGCCTTCTGCACACTCCCCACTGGGTATGTGCCCGCAACCAAGGTACATGCCCTTGACCGGAATCGAACCCGGAACCCTTGAGTCCACACACCGACGCTCTATCCATTGAGCCAAACCGGCCAGGGCCCAAGCCATATTCTTACAGCACAAAACCAGTGGTAAATATTGATTTTTCCAGAGAATTTTGACAGTGAAGACAGCCAGCCTGGATAAATGGAGTTTTTAAAAGCTGAACAGGTGGTTTATTATTTGAAATGAATATTCCTTGCACAGATGTATATCATTATACCAGTACTCTTATTCTCTAAAGACTTCAAACTACCAATGTGGATCATTTAGGTCAAATTTGGAAGTAACTTTTGTGGATTGTATAGCTATTTTGCCTTCATGTATAACATAATTGCTAGTATTACATTTTCTTGGTTCCTATAATTCTGTCTTAATTACAACTCCTGTGGAAGTTTATAAGTGACTAAATAAGATTATATTTTTTAAAAGCTGCTCTAAGAACACAGTGAATTATAAGGATATTAAATATATACTTGGAGCAGGCAAGTCTAAAAGGATTTAACTCTTATATTCCCCATAAGAATATGAATTCTCACATTAACCATATAAGGTAGCGGGGATTTTTGACCCACTTCTGGTCAAACTCAAAGTTCAATCTCTTTTCACTATATTTTGTTGCCTCTCTGGGAATAGAAATTTAATTTCTAGCAATAAGGAAAGCTTAATTAAGAGGGTGAATTTTCATGCTAGCTTCCTTTGCCCCCCTACTCTCACAAAAACAAAATTTAATCCCAAGGTCTGTGGCTAGCTCAGATTGGAGCAAAATTTGTACTTCCCTGGTAGGAGTTTTCATATGTATTTTTTCCTGATTAAAGTTATTTGTGAGAAGACTGGGTAGAAAAAGGGTGAAATCTCTGGTTTTGCACATCTCAGTTAGGCTTGTAGTCTTCACTTTCTTGGCATACTCCTTCCAACGTTAAGAGCTACTTTGGTCAGGCTGTTCCAATATTCCATGTTCTCCAGACCAGCCTGCAGGTACTGACTGAGGTAGCTTAGAGCACACCGTAGTTACATTGGATTCACATAAAATCTCCAAAGAGGGAGAATTAGAATTTTCTGTCTATTCTGCTAATCCTATCTAAGTCTTGGTGCACAGAAACCACAGGACCACATGTAAGCAGTTTACAAATCAAGAGGAAAGAAGAGAGATGTGAAATGTTCACATGATTACCCAATAGTTATAATAGCACCAGTGAATTAAATAAGAGGTAGCATGAAGTTATGGTTACATATCATCAAGTATATTACGTTTGAATTCAAAAGAACAATATTCTTTAAGTGAGCTTGAGAAGGTTCATGGAACTTTGAAGGATAGATAGGATTTGGTAAATGAAAACGATGAAGAACATTCTAGCTAAGGTATGTGGATGGTGGAAACATAGCATTAATCACAGCAATGGTACATTATATGACAGATTTGAAGTTTGCAAAATATGTTGGGGGACATTGCCTCATATCTCCTGAACAGGGGTTTTATAAGGAAAATTAGGTTATGTGATGTCCTGGGAGCAGTGAGCATCAGTCGCCTTGGTGTCTGGTTGCAGATGGAGGTTACAGACAGGGAAAAGATGAAGATGATCGAAATTTTAAACCCTAACGATTAGAGAACGGAAATTGAAAAGTATCCAGAAGATTGGCATGCCAGGTGTGGAGCTGGGTGGGAGACAGATCCAGGGTACAATTAACAGTCACCTCTGACCAGCGAGCCTGAGAACGGTGTTTCCACATGAGGTGGGAGCAAGGACTTACTTAGCCTGGGTCCTTAGATTTAGGCTGGGAACTGTGGTCCTGGGCCTCTGGAAGCCCCCACACCCAGCACACTAGTAGCCATGACGGAGTGCTCAGCACTGACGGCCACACACACGTCTGTGGGAGTGAAGCAGTCAGACTCCACCCACATTAGGGGGCAGGGAGCTTAATTTTATCCTCAGGGGTTGTGTGTTTTAAATACAAGACAACAAACCTTAAATCTCAAGACTTGGGCTCAGATCAAAGTTCTGTTCATTTTCAGTCATGTGTCCGAGGTCTTGAACAAGTCAACCTTTCTGTAACTTCGGAGTAATAATGCATCATTGAGCTATTAAAAGGATTAAGTAGGATTATGTTCAGTGCTGTGTAAATTACAAATGTTATAAAAATGTGAGGAGTTGTTATTGTTACTTAAATGCTAGTCTCGCAAGAATTATAGAAAGCTAGCATTTATGTTGTAAGGATTTTGAAAAAGTTTTTAGACCTTTAATTTTCATTTGGGGAGATTGAAGAATGTGACAGGTTGAAGAAGTGCTTGAACAAAACCACGTAGCTCGTTTATGGCAGATTCTGGACTCCCAGCTGATGTTTTTGGCCCTTAAGTTGCCACTTCAATGGTCTCTTCACCCCATTGGGCTGCCTTTTCAGATCCTAGGGAATCTAAAAGCACAAAAGAATGTGAGAAATTGTTGTCTGAGGATAGAACGCATTGAAGATTGCCCATTTAGCCTTTGTAGTATTTGTAATTATTACAAATCCTATAAAATAATGGTGAAAGTTTTATAAACTGGTAAACTTCAAAAAATATATTCAAGTAGTAGTTTTTAGTAAAATTGAATTAAAAATCTTAATGTACAGCATAAAGTTATGTGCAATTTGTGATCTTAAATGTGATGTGGTTTTAATTTATTAAAGATTAGAAAATGACTGATGTTCACTTAAAGGTTTATCTTCATTTAATTAATAAATGACCTGTATTCAAGAACTTCTTAACTTACATCCTCTACCCATCACAGTCCTGGATTAGCAGCATGTTCTTTATAACGTTGATAAGTGGGAGTTTTACAAAATGCAGTTTGTAATATAAAGGAGTCAGATAACTCAGAGGGCTTTATTTGGCCACATTTTTGTTTATGTTTGTTACAGCCTTAGTCATTGTTTCCATGTGTTTTCATCCTCCAGGGTATCTTCAAGAAGCCTACTTATGGACCAAACAAGTTCTGACCATCATGGAGAAGTCTCTGGTCTTGCTCCGAGAGGTGACGGACGGCTCCCTCTATGAAGGGGTCGCGTACGGCAGCTACACCACTAGATCACTCTTCCAGTATATGTTCCTCGTGCAGAGGCACTTCGACATCAACCACTTTGGTCACCCGTGGCTTAAGCAACACTTTGCCTTTATGTATAGAACCATCCTGCCAGGTATAGTGAGGCATCGCAAGTGGGTCAATGTTAACTATTGTCATTTTTCCTGATTATGAAAATGGGCTGGAGAAATGTGGGGTTTGAGCCATATTGCAATTAGAGGGATTAAAAAAAAATCAAAACAGAATTAAATGTAAGGGTTACATAGCCAGAACATCTCGGGAGTTAACGGGAGGATTTGTGATTTAGGTATTGTAATGCTTGGAGCATGATGGATCAAGTAGAATTTGTAGCCGCCACAGAACTTTTATTTTTGTATGTGTAAACCATGCATACATATACAAAATTCATTTTCATGAATCAAAACAGGATATAAACATTTACGATTACATGTTCATTTTCCTTTATATGTGATCCCTCATCAATCCTATTTTGGTTTTTAGTTCATAAATTTTTTCTTCCAAACTATATAGACATGATTCAAAATGAAATATTACATCTACATATTTAAGTTGGGGCTTTAGTATTTTCTTTAAGTTTTTTATTGAAATAACTAGTATAAAATATAGGAATAAAGCCAAAAATTGAATTTCTATAAAACTAATCTCTTGTTGCTGTGTAGCTTAGTCTTCTAAGAGAACTGGCTCAAAAAAAGTTATATGTGATTTAAGAACTGATTTATTTCTAAGAGAGCCTTGTAACGCTTCTTATTTCTAAACAGGACTTAAAAAAAAAATTAGGAGGTAGTTTTTCATCAAGATGGGTTCCCCTCCTCCCTCCAGTGAATTGAAGTTTTCAGATGGTGATTCTAGAATTACAATAAAATCAGTATTTAAATCTTTTTGCTGTGGTTGTATACACATGGATTGGATAGAATCTCCATTATTGGGTTAGTTTTTCAAAAATAATACAGAGCAAAAGAACCATATTAAAATTTAGTTTAGACTTACATTCAAAACTCTGTTTTATTGCTTATTCTTAGACATACCAGAGCGACCTGTTTTATAGTTTATGTTGATAACCAAAGGCCTTTAATGGTCTCAGTGTTCTGTAATTTGAGCTGAGATCTAACAGCCAACCGCAGCGGGGCTGGGGTCTGCTGTGAGCTGTTTACGTAGCTGCTGTTTAAGCTGGAAAAGACAGCATGAACACCTCTAAGAAGAGGATTCAAGTATTTGTGTCCATTAACTCAACAAACCTTTCTTGAACACCTAAGTATTTGTGTCCATTAACTCAACAAACCTTTCTTGAACACCTATGTGGTGGGCAGGAGATTCAAAGAGGAATAAAACGTATCATCTGCTTTCAAAAGATTCAGAAAATCACATTTTATAATGAGACTTATTTAGAAAAGCAATTATTAGACTGTTAGAAGCAAAAATATTAGCTGTAAATTATGGAAATGCAGTCCTGGTCACATTTGGAAGGGGTTCTGCGTTAAGTCAATCTGCTTCAACCTTTCTCTTTTTTCTCTCCAGCGGCTATTCTAGTGACTCGTGCTGTCTGACCCGGCGTTTTTGCCCATTCTTCTTCTTTAAGAATGTCTGGAGCATATCCTGTCTTCCCTGCTTTTATTTTTCTGACCCATTTCAGTATGATATTTGCATTTCCCCTCTTTTCTTTAACGTCCAGCAATGCACACTGGCAGGATCTCTGTGGGAATTGTTAGGTTTTCTTCCTGTGGAGACTCAGTTTCTCCTCTGTGCCTTATAACTTCCGCTTGATTGGAGGGCACATTGAGGCATTTGCGTTATTGTTTTGGCGTAGGATGTGGGTTGAGTTGGTAGGAGAGCTATTGCTCATTTGAGGTCCAGGAACTCACCATGCTCAAGAGGATAGTGCATGTATTTATGCAAACATAATTGCACATAGCATGGACCCCGGAAACCCAGGAAGGTGGGCAGTGTACGTCATTAGTCGTCGTGGCATCTTCATCACCAATGACAAGTTGCCACACAACAAATACAAACTTGCACACAAGGTTTGTGGAGGACCTTCCGCGGGGTTCTGATTCATTGGTCCGGGGTGGAGTGTGGGCATTGTGGTTTCATTTGTCATTTTTATCCAAGGTGCACACTTGATTCTAATTTGCAGGCAGGATTGAAAGTCATTGTTTAGGTCTTTATGGGGACATGCAGTTTTAAACTTACCTTAGTTCTGTAAAACTTCTTTCCCCAGGATTTCAGAGGACTGTGGCCATTGCAGACTCAAATTACAACTGGTTTTATGGTCCAGAGAGCCAGTTGGTGTTCCTGGACAAGTTTGTCATGCGTAACGGCAGTGGTAACTGGCTGGCTGACCAAATCCGGAAGAACCGTGTGGTGGAAGGCCCAGGGACCCCCTCCAAAGGACAGCGCTGGTGCACTCTCCACACGGAATTCCTCTGGTAGGACACGTTGCGTGGGCTTTGCAAAGAAATTGTACCCAGGGGTACAGGTGTGCTAGTTTTTTGCCTTAAAAAAAACAACAACAAAAAACCTAATCTAAAGCTTCAGTACTTGCAAATTCAATTCCTATCACAGTGTTTGAAACTCTGCTAGAAACATTTCCTGACATTTAAATCTAATTACCGCTTGCAGTTTGATTTTCGTATGTTACAGATGTCCTGGGCTCACACTGTTTTACAGATATGCCTGTTTTCATTTACATCATTTTTGAAATTGTATAAAGAGAAAACCATCAACAAAATTTAGACTGGGTTCTTCTGATAATCACACCCCAAATAATTTGTTTTGTTTTGGTAAATGAAGCATTATAATCTGCTAAGAGCAAAGCTGTTACTAATTTTCAAAACTATTTAAAAGTGTTTGACAGTTTCACTTTGATAATAAAAGAACCATGTAATATTTTTTTTTGGCCTTAATCTTTTAAACCAGAAAGAGAACCATGTCTCCTTTTTAAAGTCCTGCCAAATATATTACTGGCATCCAATAAATGAAGATAAAAATTACAGGGAACTAGTTGATAATTAATCTCTTATGTCTTTTCAAGCTTTTGACACTTGCATTCAACTCTAAAATAAGCTTCTGAGGTGTGATTGCTTCCCTTCATTATTTTTTAAATTTTAGACAGTTAAGAGGAAAATAACACTAGAAAAGAGGTAATTGTCTCTAGTTTAACCAGCATTTTTAAAAACTGTATTCACAGGTGAATTAAATATATTACTATGCAACCATTCTTGACACCTTTTAGGGAGATAAAGTCATTATTTAATTGTGTTTTCACTTAAGCAACTGAGAGAGTTCTATAAAGCTGACTATAAAGCTAACTTAGATTAATGCTAAGTCTGACTTGGTTCAAAATCTGCCTGATAGGAGTATGCCAACTGGCCAAAAACTGAAAGAAGGATGGAAAGTTCAGCTTGTGTCTGGATTTGGTAAATCACAGAAGGAAGCCAACCTTATTATACCAGGCCTGGGAGAGACACGTTTTCTGAAGTTCTGAAACTGAGACTCTAGAACAACAGATGAAACAGCCACAAACACCAATAAGATTAACTCTGCCATAAGCAATTGATTCACTGTAGAACAAATTCTCTATGAGCTAATGACACAGGTCTGCCTTTCTGCCCTTGGGCAGGAAATTACATGAACCTGTCAAGGCTGTTATTTCAAATCATCAAAAGCTAACAATCATGTTTATTATTTTTGCGGCCTTTCTGAATCAAAAACCTGTGTTCTTAGTCACTTGGAAGTTTAATGTTAATTTTTTATTACTTGATAAAAAACAATTATCCTAAATAACAGGTCATTTATTGTCCAAAATGCATGACATCATCCGTAGATTAAAACAAAAGCTTTAGATCTGGGCTAGGCAGTGATAGCCACAATTAGAAATCCTCAGTATTAATAGTTTCCTGAATTTCATCTATTTATATTCTTAGATGTGGTATTCACATTAAATTGTATCTAATATATGAAGTTTAACTCCATTTAAATTAAATTTTAGAGGGTAAAAAGTACTCTGCCAAATGTTAATAATACTATTTATTGTAGAAAAATATTTCATTGCAACTCAAGGCGTGTTAGGTTCTAGATCCAAACACAGGGTTCCCTAGAATGGGAGCCCCTCAAGCTAGAGGTTTGGGTGAAGTACTTAATTTTCTGATCCATGAGCCCCAGTCATTTGGACGGCAGCTCTGACATGGTTCAGTGAAGAAGGTTCATATAGTCATTAGCAGCAGGAATCATTTCAGGCTCAAATCCGAGGATCGCATGTTGTAAAGATACTCTCCTCTCTAACCAAGGGTGTTAGTTCCCCTGCACAGTGTGACCATCCACAGGTGTTCTCAGAACTGTCCCTACTACAGTCTGCATTGCCAGCGCTCTGGGTAGCATCGGTGTGTTCTGATGTGTTATTTTCACTTCCACCAGAAAACCAATTAATTTTTATAAAATGAATTCTTTCAGGTATGATGCCAGCTTGAAATCTGTCCCTCCTCCAGATTTTGGCACCCCTACATTGCATTATTTTGAAGACTGGGGCGTTGTGACTTACGGAAGTGCACTGCCTGCGGAACTCAATAGGTCTTTTCTTTCCTTCAAGTCAGGAAAACTTGGGGGCCGTGCAATATATGACATTGTCCACAGAAACAAATACAAAGACTGGATCAAAGGATGGAGAAATTTTAATGCAGGGCATGAGCATCCTGATCAGAACTCATTTACTTTTGCTCCCAATGGTGTGCCTTTCATCACGGAGGCTCTCTACGGGCCCAAGTATACCTTTTTCAACAACGTCTTGATGTTTTCCCCAGCTGTGTCCAAGAGCTGCTTTTCTCCCTGGGAAGGTCAGGTCACCGAAGACTGTTCATCAAAGTGGTCTAAATACAAGCATGACCTGGCAGCTAGCTGCCAAGGGAGAGTGGTCGCCGCAGTGGAGAGAAATGGAGTGGTTTTCATTCGAGGAGAAGGTGTGGGAGCTTACAACCCCCAGCTCAGTCTGAAGAACATTCAGAGGAATTTGATCCTCCTGCATCCACAGCTTCTCCTCCTGGTGGATGAAGTCCATCTGGGAGAGGAGAGCCTCTTGGAGACGGCAACGAGCTTCTTCCACAACGTGGACTTCCCTTTTGAGGAGACAGTGGTAGATGGCGTCCATGGGGCTTTCATCAGGCAGCGGGATGGGCTCTATAAAATGTACTGGATGGATGATACCGGCTACAGTGAGAAAGCAACTTTTGCTTCCGTGACCTACCCTCGGGGCTATCCCTACAACGGGACAAACTATGTGAATGTCACCATGCACCTCCGAAGTCCCATCACCAGGGCAGCTTACCTCTTCATCGGGCCATCCGTGGACGTTCAGAGCTTCAGCATCCACGGAGACCCCCAGCAGCTGGATGTGTTCATAGCCACCGGGGAACACGCCTATGCTGTTTACCTTTGGACAGATGAGACCCCAGGCCAGTCTGCCTTTGCACAGGTCATTGCCGATCGTCAGAAAATTCTGTTTGACCGGAGTTCAGCCATCAAGAGCGCCACTGTCCCTGAGGTGAAGGACTATGCTGCTATTGTGGAGCGGAACCTGCAGCATTTTAAGCCAGTGTTCCAGCTGCTGGAGAAGCAGATCCTGTCCCGAGTCCGCAACACAGCCAGCTTCAGGAAGACCGCTGAGCGCCTGCTGAGATTTTCAGACAAGAGGCAGACCGAGGAGGCCATCGACAGGATTTTTGCCATATCCCAGCAGCAGCAGCAGCAGCAGCAGCGCAAGTCCAAGAAAAACCGAAGGGTAGGCAAGCGCTATAAATTTGTGGATGCCGTCCCCGATATTTTTGCACAGATTGAAGTCAATGAGAAAAAGATTCGGCAGAAAGCCCAGATTCTGGCACAGAAAGAACAGCCCATAGATGAAGATGAAGAGATGAAAGACCTTTTAGATTTTGCAGATGTGACGTATGAGAAACACAAGAACGAGGGCCTGATGAAAGGCCGGTTTGGACCGGCGCGGATGGTGACGACCATGCACAGCAAAGCGCCGTCACTGTCCGCTTCTTACACCAGACTCTTCCTGATTCTGAACATTGTTATTTTCTTCGTCATGTTGGCCATGCAACTGACTTATTTCCAGAGGGCCCAGAGCCTACATGGCCAAAGATGTCTGTACGCAGTCCTCCTGGTAGATAGTTGTATTTTATTATGGCTCTACTCTTCTTGTTCCCAGTCACAGTGTTAGCACTGAAGCTGTCAATCGCTCAATTATTTGTGGTCACAAATCTATGCAAAAAAAAAAAATCGCCCTAGTTATTGGATTTTTTTTCTCAGATTCATTTTCACAAATGAAGGGGAAGATATCTTCACACAAGAAAGCAAGGACATGGGGAAATCAGAATTGAAGTAGCTAAAGAATTTGTCAAAGGAATAAAAGTAGTTTGGATGTCCCATGATGTTTCTGGAAGTGTTTGGCTTGGCTAATTTAGTGGTCCATATAGTACTACTCTTAAACACAAAGTCTGGTTTTAAGTAATTTTTAAGAAACAAAAAAGACAGAATTGGATTTTATTAATATTAATTTAATGCTACTAGCAATCTTCAGATACTATTTTATGAAAAGCCTGAAGCACACAATTCTGAGAAATACAGACTTTTTTTAAATGGTGTAGCCATGTTAAAAAAAATAAATGTTGCGAAGTCCTGGTATGGCGGTGCCATCTTCCTGGGAGAGTAGTTCCTTAGTTAAGTGAATAACATCACTTGTGTATTGAATTACTATTCAGATAACATGGTAAAATGATGGCAGAAAAATCATTAAAAAGTTAAGATATATTTCCAGTAGAATACATGTATGTATGAATGACTGCTTAATGATGTCCATTTCTGCACACACCTAACTGATTGCTTTTATGCATACATTGGTTATTCAAATAAGACAATTGCAGATAACTTGATTTCCTATTTTTTTTTAATATGGAAACTTGCTGTGGACCTAGTGACTAAACTTTAAAATAAAATATTTTATATCCTTAATGTTAATTTCAATACCAAAGAAGATGGGGAAGCTAAAATTTGGATATGATTCTTATGTTTTTTAATAGAAATTTTTCTTTAAATTTATTTTGTTTAATAAACATCATAATTGTGATTTTTCAGTAGTGTCTGTCTTCTTTGTTCCATTATATTTAGCAGCAGTTTTGAAAACTTTGAAGAAAAATGTTTATTTGGGCATGCATTAATTAAACATAAAGTAGTATTTGAATTGAAAGAAGTAATTTCTCTGCTTATTTGCCTTTCTGTTGTTTAAACATTTTAAATATTTCCAACAAAAGCCAACCTCTGATATTTGAGTAATGCCATACTTTTAAAAGCATAAAGTTTTCTTATTTATTTGCAATCAAGTCCTCAGGAGGTTAACAGCAGCACAGAGTACACTACTGGAAACATATTCCATAGTTCATACTTTGGCATAAGAAAATGATATACTTAAAAGGAACTGAAGAGTAAATTAATTATCTTACATTCAGCACAGTTGAGTCTTCTCCATTTCTCCCCTGGAAATAGGTTTGGCTCACATTTTACATTAAGGTCACATTCACTGATTTGTACGTCTGAAGTCATCATGGTGATCTTTTCCTTTTACATCGCTTTTTTTTTTTTTCGTGGAAATACGATTGTGTAACAGAAAACAAGAACACAGAGAAACACTTTATGAGCACCTTTTTTTGCGGTTCTAATTTTGAACCTTCTTACATAAATGAAACCCAAGTTTGACTTTTAACTGTGCTTCACTCATTATACTTGGAATCTAGAACATGACTTATGGGGAAGTATTTTTTTTTCTTTCATGGAAAAGGCCTCCAGGGAGGATGTCATTACACACTGCTTAAAAGAATAATGTTTTCAAAAGAAGAATGCTTCCGTTTGTCCTGCATGGATGCTGTTCCTGGGATTTAAACTTGCTTTATGTGACAGATTCTCCGTTTACTTAACCCCATTCGGCATTCCTCTCTCCTACTCTTTCTCATTCAAAAACCATGAATTGTCCGAAATGATCAAAAGCAAATTTTGAAAAAAGGGGGAAATTGCCCTTTGAGGCTACCAAGCAAACCTGATCTGAGATCCAAACACTCACAGGCCTACTTTCTAATCGAGATGAAAAGTGTAAGCAAGCGCCAAATCCAGCTTTCCTTCTGTTTTCATTAGTTTAAGGGCAGATGATAAATTAGTTTGAAAGTAACGTTTTAAAATGTGGTAATTGTGCATCTTTAAAAACAAAATTGATTAGTGGGCTTTTTACCCTTCTAGTGGACCTCATATCTACTTCAGTTAAGAAGAAATTTCCATGGCCAGTGACTTAGTGGGTGAGTGAAAAATAATGCTGAGCCCTAACCGGTTTGGCTCAGTGGGTAGAGCGCCGGCCTGCGGACTGAAAGGTCCCAGGTTCGATTCCAGTCAAGGGCATGTACCTTGGTTGTGGGCACATCCCCAGTAGGAGATGTGCAGGAGGCAGCTGATCGATGTTTCTCTCTCATCGATGTTTCTAACTCTCTGTCCCTCTCCCTTCCTCTCTGTAAAAAATCAATAAAACATAATTTTAAAAAAAAGAAAAAGAAAAATAATGCTGAAACTAACAACTGTTCTTCAGACAGGCATGTTTTATATCAGGGCTCGTGCATATTTGACTAAGACCGAGAAGCTCTTTGTATCTTCCAGAAAACCCAGCAACGTTACATCTCCCTTGTAGCTGAGTGATCAATTATGGAATCTGTTCCGTGCTGCTCATTCTGAAAGGAGTGCTTCAAGTTCATGGGATAATCTGTGAGTTTTTGTTCGGGGCATTGGCAGGACTTTCAGTCCCAGCCTTAGAGAAAATTTGGGAATCGTTAGCACACAGAGCTTGTCTGTGCAGTGGAAGGGACGTATTCCCCTTTTGGTAACTAATTAAGTAATAAACAGCCGTGATGGTCAATGAAATCTATTATCTGCTGAAAGAACATTCTCTTAAGATTGTTGTCATCATTGACAATAAAGTCAGAAGGAAGACCTTATTCTGTGACTTAATTAAAATTTATTGTCTCGAATATTGAATTAATCCACAATATTTGTCCTAATTTTGTAAAAGGACCCAATGTCCTAGGTTATTAGTAAATTGTTTTAACAGGTTATGCTCACTGAATAATATGTTTTAAAAAGAAGAGTTTACATTATCACTCTGTTTTTAAAAAATTCTTTATAGTTCACAAGCCACCCACAAAGGAATCTTAAATTTCTCCAAACTTTTAAGAGGATTCAAGTTAGCCGAACCGGTTTGGCTCAGTGGATAGAGCGTCAGCCTGCGGACTGAGGGGTCCCGGGTTCGATTCCGGTCAAGGGCATGTACCTTGGTTGCGGGCACATCCCCAGTAGGGGGCGTGCAGGAGGCAGCTGATCGATCTCTCTCATCGATGTTTCTACTCTCTATCCCTCTCCCTTCCTCTCTGTAAAAAATCAATAAAATATATTTTAAAAAAAAGAGGATTCAAGTTATGAAATGTACAGAAGTGGGTAAAAATAGATTAATAATAATAATCAATAATACACTAATAAATAATACAACAAGAGAAAACAACAGATATAAACTAAGACCGTCCTAGGAAAACTAGAGTATATGGTTATCTGTGTCAGAGATTAATTCAGGCAATAAAAGGGGTTAGGGAGGTGTGTGAAGGTCCAACTTTAAGTTTAGTGCTAAAAAGGAACTTGTGATCTGATTGAGCCTCCAAACCTGCAGATAAAGAAGCTGGGCTCAAGCAGGGGCTAACCTCTCTCCCGTTCCCTGCCGTGTTTATCCCTGTGCTTAGTTCATTTTCTGGTCAAAGCCCATTGACTTGATTGTCTCTTCTTTAAGTTCCTGTTGAGAAGAGGTCAGTTTCTGCAGCTTGCTTAGCTTACTGGCAAAGATGGCCTATTTACCAGCCACGTGTCAGCTAGATATTTGCTTTATGCTACATAACACCCATAAAATACTGATTAGTTTTCAGGAAATGACAGAAAAAGCATGCATTCCACTACATGGCCTAAGTATTTAATTTTGGGTCATTTAATGGACAGGTTTGAACACTGTTAAACAAGATGTCATCACAATGTGAAGAGTAGAAGCTGAAGCTGCATTATAACTTTCCTGTTATTTTTCTTGGCTTTGTAGTTTCCCTCCATGTTTTGAGGGTGTGTGTGTGTGTGTGTGTGTGTGTGTGTGTGTGTTTTGTATAAGTTATAAAGATAGATGATTGAAAAAATAAATCATACTAGCAGGCTTATAGTTTTAAAAGTCTGCCCACTCCCTTTGCAACTGTGCAGAAACCTTATTTTCTTAAACCTGACCTTTTGTTTTGATTTTTTTTTCCCCTTTCATTCAAACTGGCCTCGCCTAACACCTGACTTACCTCCCTCCCTCTCCCTTGCTTAATCATTAGGGCCTCAGGACAATGAAGCTGTCAGATCCAGTAGTCTTAGGAACAAGGTCCTGGGTCTATTTACTACTGAGACACAGTTAAACATAATATCTAGGCCTCCGTTGTGTTTTAGCTCTGGACCCAGGAAAGCAGAAGGATCCCATAGAACAAACCCTTGTGAAATGAAACAACTCCATGGCTGACATCAGGGCTAGATGCAATGATCAGTTACCCCTACCCTAGCACCAACCAACAAGCAGAGGCCACGATCCTAACTCCATTAGTGACCATGAGTAGTGATTTGTTCCCTATATGATCCATCTCCTTGAACCCAGCAGGGAGCCAGGTTTTTGAGCATGAGCTACCTGAGACTCCGGGCATGGAGCCATCTCCTTAGTCAATCCTTATTTTCTTAGCTGCAAACTCCTGTTTGTGTCTTACTGGGCTTTGACGCGCGCAGGCAAATGGACCCCTGCAGTCCGGTAATGTCTTTTCACTCTTGTGCTCCTCAGAAGTAACAATTTCTGATTTTCTTAGCTGTTGCATTCATTATGCCCGTATTTATAAGGTCTACAACTTGCTACCTACAAAGAAGAGGATTAGCTTTTTTTATCCATCTCCCCTCTCTTCATACCTGTTTCATTCATCCCCAACCTTTTTTTTAAATTAATTAAGGTATTACATATGTGTCCTTATCTCCCCATTGCCCCCCACCTCCCACTCATGCCCTCACCCCCCTGGTGTCTGTGTCCATTGGTTAGGCTTATATGCTTGCATACAAGTCCTTTGGTTGACCTCTTTCACCTTACTCCCACACTCCCCTACCTTCCCTCTGAGGTTTGATGGTCTGATCGATGCTTCTCTGTCTCGATCTGTTTTTGTTCATCAGTTTATGTTGTTCATTATATTCCACAAATGAGTAAGATCATGTGATATTTCTCTTTCTCTGACAGGCTTATTTCGCTTAGCACAATGCTCTCCAGTTCCACTCATCTGCATCCCCAACCTTCTAACAGAGCTATCATAATTTTTGGTTGAGTCAGTATTCAGGGTTTATGTTATAACTATGTAAATATGACTTACAGGTTAGCCATGTAGAATACTATCTTATTTCCTTTCATGTATAACTTTAACTTCCTCAGAGTTAGTGAAAAAATTTTTTTTCATTTGCTTAGTTGCAAGTAATCTCATTTTATCCCCAAACTTTCAATTTAGTGTGAATCTACTCACTCTATGTTCAATCACACCTGTATAATCTGAAGGTGTCTTTTGTTCTTGGAGCCAGCCCCCCTTGCATGTTAGCTGTCCCCAGATCTCTTTCCCCACCGTTCTAAGGATTCTTTATGCCTCTTTTCTGTGTAAAGATGTTCTCTGAATCCTATGCTTCCCTTTTTCATCAGTGCCTCGTTTTGCTGGAGCATGTCCTCCCTGAGATTCCATGGGGAATAGATATTCTGCCTCCTTTCATTTCTGAAAATATCTTTATTCCGTCCTCCACTTGATTTATCATATAGCCAACAATTATAGGTTGGAAATGACTTTTCCTCAGATTTGTGTAAATAATGCTTCATGATCTTCCAGTTTCTGATGTTGTTGTTAAGAAATCTGTTACCGAGTTTTCTCTCTGATAGAGCAGTTTGAACCAGGGAAAAACTCCAATCTCCTCTGTAGTTAGTTCGGAGGAGGGATGCAGGAGGGAAGAGTTGGTTAATAGGCCTAAC